TTTTATCTTAAATTAACATTTATAGTCTTAAAAATAATGTATAATAGATTCGTAGTATATTTTGAGTAATACTTTTTAACACCAACTGCACATTCAGGTAGCACGTAGATATATTCGAGCTCATGAACAACAAAGGATATCCCTCTTGTTTTCATCAATTTTTTCTCCTTTTTTTATGTTTCTAATTGTAGAACAGGAAGAATTGTGGAGAGAGAGAGAATGTTAATTAGGCCTTAGTATTCGAATTTTAGTCAATTGGTTATAATTTTTTTGAAAGTTTTTTTTTTAAAGAAATGGTTTTTTTAATTAACAAAAAATTGAGAATTTGTGGCAAAAAAATGTTTTTTTTAAACTTGTACAAATTGCTTATTTTTTCGAATTATCAAAATCAGCTACAAGAGGACAAAGTGTTTTAAATATAAATCTTTTTAGTAATTTAATTTCAGAAAATCTTGCTCGGATATATCGTGCGAATTAGGGCAGACATTTGAAAAAAATGTATGTCGTAGAAGAATTATAATTGCTACAAATTAATAAATAATACTTAAAAATAAAAATTGTTTTTTATAGTTTAAAGTACGATCTACCCCACAATGTATTTAATCAATATTACATTGCTTTTACTATTTCGAAAAAAATTCCGAAAAAGTAATCTCATTCTCAGACGTCTAAGGTGGCCTAAACCTTTTAAGGATTGTCGCCGCTTGCGTTGGATCGCGAAACTTTACGGTCCTCGTATACCTCCCGCTTATCGATATTACCTTTTCGCCATCGTGCTTATTTTCCCGTCGCTTCCGTTGCGTCGTGCAGGAGAGGAATGAAGAAATAGATCCGGACGATCTAGATGACGATTGCGGCGCGGGTTTCCAATTTAAAAGTCTGATCGTCTTACTCTAGGAGGATCATCCTGATCGTCCGGTAAGTCCAGCCGACTTCTCTCGCGCGCCGTAGGATGCGGGGTATCGCGCTATCTCGCCGCCCTCCGGTATTAATATTCGATGCCATTAACGGCGCAGCAATTGCTTCCACCGGCCCGAGACACGCTCCCTTACGCTTCAATCTGAATTCCAATTTGGTCCCCGCCCCGCGTTTGGGTATAATACCGGTGGCTGTGATTGCGCGGCAAGGCGAGGGCACTCCCGGTACGCGCTCCATCTTCCCGTTCGGTGTCGCGGTTAAGGACGATAATAGCGATCCGAGCAAGTAGCTGGCGAAGTTACCGGCGAGGTGACAAAGTACACGGAGGGTCCGTGCGGAGCGAGTAAAGGGGATGAAGACGGTCTACCCGCCCTATGCCGGCGCTGTGGATGGTGGACCGGTGAGAACAGGCGAGGGCAAAGGGCGTGGGAGGGTATATTAAAGGGGCGCTATGACCCGATGCGCTTGTCTCATGCATACCAATAAGCCCTGGCTGCTATGCGTCTCGTATGTAGCAGAGTATCCGCCTGCAGCTTGCCGACAACTTCGCTTATTTGTCCTGTGAAATAGATTCCGCGTCGCTCTTGGCCCTTGACTACGATCAAGATTACCCGCCCGATATACGATATAGACATATTGTGAATATGCAGATTAAACTAAATTATTCGATCATTATTTGATCGTTGTTTATTAAGCACTCTTAGTTAAATTTCTTTAAAGGCAAACACGCTTAAAAGTGAAGATTTGTGTTTACAGAATTTAAAAGTGACAAATAATTACACATTTAGAAACACTTGAGCTTAGTACTATAAATTATATATAAAAGTAAAAAAAATTTTTTTTTTAATATTTTATAAAACAAATTTTTTTTCTAAAAGCTAAAAAATTGTTTTATAAAAAATGGGAAGATAATGTATAAATCAAATAACGTATAGAAAACAAGTTAAGATTATAATAATCTATAATATAAATACATAATAAATTAATAAATCTAATAATTATTATGGTTATAAATAGATAAAATATGATTATGTTACATTTTTAAACCCTAAATTAAATGACAAAAAATTTGATTAATGAAGAAATTAATGATTAAATAAATGAAATATTATTAATGATATGTGAAAATAATATAGAGCATTATAACAATTTGCCATTATCTTCTCATGCAATTTATATTACAAATCCCTTCTAAATATTTCAACTATTGTCGAACGATGACATAAGATTTTATGATCTTGATTCCTGGTGAAAAAATATTCGTTCTTTTCGGAGAACAAACATCGGATGGAAAATAATCTTCGGTAAACAATACGCCGGAAAATAATATTATCCATCGTCGTGGGGGAGGGGGGAGACAGACGCGACTGGCGGGATACGGCCGGCGAAACGAATTTTGATTAACGAGAGAGCTTTCGCAAATTCGGGAGCGCGTTCCGCGCGAAAGAACGCTCCAATTTGTCCGCGTAGTGAGCGCGAAATGAAATTAAGGCAGACGCGAATTTGATCAGCGGCGCGGCGGCGGTGACCAGAGCCCGAAATCTCGGTGAAAACGCAGCGCTCGGACGAAGCGCTCGCAGGGACGACGACTAATGACAGTTACCGCTGTGAGTTGATTCCCGCTTAAAAGATTTACGCCGCCTTGTGTAGCTTGCAAATCAAATATCCGACCGGCTTCACTAAAAGTACTTACGCTCACGAACGAAAAACCGAAGCGTCTATATTTACCCTTTCGAGATCATCTATAGACTGCATTTTTAAAATCTGCGTAAAAGAGTTAGAATTTTTTTTGGGCATCAGAAATGTAATACAATTACATTATTTATTTATAACAATTATAATAATTATATTTTCCCTTATTGTTAGTAGAGATATGTTAAGATGTGTCATCGCAATTTGCACATGCAATTTATTGTCTCATAACATTTTATACTTTAATGTTTATTATTATTACATTTGCATAAATTATCCAATAACTATGCGTGAAAATATAACAATATAATAATTCAACATCCACAAAAGATCGGATGGCTGTCGAAAATGTTTATACATTTCCGGATTCACGCGATTCGAAGGAAGTACAAACTTGGAACTTCGGAGACATTATCATCCGCTGACGCGTCCCAAATTGCATAAATTCACCGTTGACAATACATAATAAATCGCGCGCATTGTGTCGAGCGCGACGTTGATGCGTCTCACGTCATTTGAATTATTAACTCGCTACAGCGGTATGTATATCAATTACGCGATATTGACATTGTCGTCCCACTATTCCATATCGTTACAGAGAGAGAGAGAGAGAGGGGGGGAACAAGAGAGAGAAAGAGAGAGGAGACAGTTATTGCAAACGAGTTATCTAGGATTGATCGAACTTATCATGTACCTATCTACATGAAGCATTCCCTGTATGAATACGCAACGAAAGGCGATTGAGTCGGGTATCGATTATGAAGTAGAAGATTACGCAATATCGTGGGGCTTTAACTGGAACGCGAATTAACTGTCGATGTGATCAGGTGAGATTACAGCCAAAGGTAATCAGACGTCTCGCTTTCCACACGTACCTACATCAAATTGTAACCTTAATTTATACAATCGGACGAAACTATCGTCGTAACAATTATCGTTTCCAACGAAAGGGAGCAAAACGTCGTGCCGCAGAAGCCGTTTGAGCTCGTACCCCGGCATCCCGCTCTCGCGGGATTTAAAAATCCGGTTGAGCTTTTAATTGCATTCCAGTGCGAAATATTAGCAACAAAGCGAGCAGCAATAAAATCGCGCGATGGCACACGCCCGCATAGTCGGGGTCCGTCGGGGGTGGGAGGGGGAAAAAAAAGGAATGTCATTCGCACTCCAATCCAAATATCGACACGTCGATACTCGAGACAGATTGAAACACTCTTTTTAAACGCTGCCGAGAGAGTGCGAATCACCACCAGAGGTAAACTAATAAATCCGCACAAATCGTCTCTGGGAGAGTTGCAGGTACATTCGTCAACTGCGAATGCAGATTAATAGTGATGAGACGGCAGTGTATCAATTACAGTGTCGTTATAACGTCGTCAAGCCGATGTCGATGTCGTCCCGGCTAATTAACGAATCTCCATGTTAGTAGGCTGTTACCGTCGAAAATCGAGATCGACTGGCTTGCATTACTCGGTAATAGATCACTTCGAAAGATTCTGATTAACGATGAACGCATCGATACAGAACCTTGGCGCCGTCCCTTCGGATTGTGGATTAAAGTTCTGTCCAACTGATCTTGCCTTTAGCAATTGATGAACAGTTTAAATTAGCCATTAGTTAATAAAAAAAAAGTTAAATCTATTAATAAAAATTATTTTGTCTGAAAAATTAATGTTTTTTAATTACATTGATTAATTTAAATAAAATCGAGTCGTAAATTATCACAAAGCACATCTCGAGATGTACTAATTCCTGCACATAATTATGTTAACGTGACATAAAAATCAGATTTTAATAAATATAATTAAAATTAATAAGGAATACTATAAATAGGACGATGGTTATATGTATATTTCGTCCATATCATATTATACTAGTTTAAACTCTACCCGGCATTGCCCGGGATTATCACAAAGTGTCAAGGGAATGAAATCAGGGGAAGGGGATGGGGTTTCATGCTAGCCTGTATTTCCCACAGAGGTCTAGAGAGTAACTATGCAAAATTTGGTCCAGATCGGTCAAAGGGTTTAGGAGTTAATAGGGAATATACATACATACAGCCATTCTATAGTTTATACAATAATATAGATATGTATAATATATATACTATATATGTATATGCATTTAATATATGTATGATGTATAAAGTAGTTTAATTCTCAGGTAATTTGAGTCTAATTTTATACGAAACATTTTTGAAATTATTTTTATTCGCTCGAATACAGGGAATTTCCGCCAACTCGTTTTACAATTAATTATTACTTTTACCGAAGCTCTTCCGGATGGTGCTAGATATTTTATGAAAGGCAGCATTAACCTACACGTCCCAGCATGTTGCTATTTGTGGCACGTTTCTGATAAAACTCACGGTATCGCGTTTCTCTCTGTTGCAGGTTATCCTTGTGCCTCACAGTCACACCGATCCGGGATGGCTGAAGACGTTCGAGCAGTACTTCCACAGTTCCACGAGGAGCATCCTAAATAACATGGTCTCGAAGCTGCAGCAGTGGCCGAACATGACCTTTATCTGGAGCGAGGTTTCGTTCTTATCGCTATGGTGGGACAGGTGAGTGCATTCTATGTGCATACGCGATCAAGCGTTTTGCGATACTTGCGAATAAGAGAGAGGAAGAAAGCGCATCGGATACATCTCATGTCAAACAATATATCGCGAAAAATATTCTTTAAATTCTATAATATATTTATGCAAAAGGAACGTATATAAACTTCTCTTTTTATATTTAAATTTAAAATATTGAAGGCTAGTATGATAATATAATAAATAGCTAAATATATAAAATATATATTAAGGAAGAATAACGTAAATAATAATAAGTTTGATAAATATATACAACAAGCAAATAAAAATTGAGCAAGATTTTTTAAGCGACGTCCGGCAAATTTCCGATAAAGCGGCGTACGAATTATTCTCGGAATTCGCGAGACATAATCAATATCGCTTTCCCGATCTGAGCTCTCTTAGGGGATGATTCATTAATGCGAATGTTGGCCTCTGCATTTGTAATTATAGATAAACACCGGTTAGTGCATTCGTGTGTTAAGTAAACTATGAGTTTTCTCGTAATCTCGCGAGCTTTTCTCGAAATTGTAAAATGTGGCTCGACCGCGGAAAAGTGAGCATCGTATAGATGAATGTCGAAAACTAACAGCCTCGCGTAATTGAATACACCTGGTAAAACTAGTTATCGCTAGTTAAACAAGACTTATCGTCTACCTTCGAACTTCGAAATTTGAACTTGCGACTCGCGCGATTGACGAGCTTCTTATATCGATGTTATTCTAATCTTTTGAGGACACGAAAGCTTCGAAACGGTCATTGACTTTTGTTAAACCGCAAGCTTCTCACACGCAAAAACGTCTCTCTCGGAAATGGATTGTTGTAAAATAGGCCGAGAGGGAGGGAGGAGGGAGGGAGCCATAGTATCAGGGACTGGGATGGTGATGATTCTCTCGAACCACTTGGCGCTTGAAAGAATGGAGCGGAAACCCGAGAACAACGGCGGGTGGCGCGCGGCGGTCCTTCTCTTCTTAACGAGCCGCGGAAAAGCCGTGGATGAACTAGGAAAGACGGAGAAGTGTCACGAGTGGATTCCGAGAAAGGAGAGAGAAAGAGAGCGGGTAAAATGATAAGTTTCAGATGAGTTTCACCGGGGGAGCTCGCTTTCATTACTCTCTTCCAGTTGTTAGAGACAGAATGAGATCTCGCAGGTTTGCTCAAAAGTAATTTTTACTTGAGGATTTAGTCACCCTGCGGATCGATACAGTTTTATTGGATCACTGGGCAGAAACGGGAATGGAGATGCTTGCGAATTGTCGAGTACGAAGGAGCAGTCATTCCTCGTGAAAGAATCAGATGGTTATAATATATACAATCGATTGAAAGTCTTAAGATGGAATGTACTTTCCATCGTATTGAATTAGGTATACTTTCGTACATTTGAAACGTATTTTTGTAAATAGCTCTAACTTTATATATCAGGTTGTATTATATATTTCTTATTTTACTTCTTTATTTTCTTCTTTATATTTAATTTTCGCTAAATCGATATACATATAATAATAGTTAAATTAATAAAAAATAGTTATACTAAGATTAATAAATACCTGTTGATACTAAAATTATCTAAAATATTTGCATAAATAATTATAATTTACATGCATTCTTTAAATAAACGTTTGTTAAAAATAATTATATTCTTCCTTTTGGAATTATTACATACGCTACAGAAAATTTTATTTTCATGGAATCTGAAATCAAATTTGATCTATTTTAGTAAGAATTGATTAAGTTTTACATTACAATTAAAAATTACAGTCTACGATAGAGAATTTCTTTTAATAAATTTTGTAAAATTATATATTTTGTATCATTTTAAAAAACAGACATGAGTAGTTTAGAATAATTACTGTTATTATGTGTTTTATTTCGAAATTTTATCGTTGAAATTTTGTGTAACCAATCAGACCGATTGCACCGATATCCGATATGCGCCGAAGCCCTGAGAACATAAAACGCCAGAAAATTGTATCGACATCGAACGTACATAAAAAATTTATTACATCGGTGGCGGTGCAGTTTAAACAGACCCACGTCGAGGAAAGCTCATCCTCAAAACGCCCCAGTTTGGCCTGGGCGTAACCACCTTAGCTTTAGCGACCTTAAACCAACCTACTAGCCACCTGGGAAAACAGAGAGAGAGAGAGAGAGAGAGAGAGAAAGAGAGAGAGAGAGAGAGACATATAGCAGGTGGAATCCGTGGCGGCTTTATGGCTGACATAAACGACGTAATGTGGAAACCACCTTCGAATAAGGAAGGATATGTAGGTCGTACATAACACTCGGACGCACAAATCACGTAAATCCTAACTGGCTGAAACGCGACGGCGCGGCGCGGCACGGCGGCGGCGATAAATATGATTTGCAACCCGAATTGTGTGATAGCTAGTATAAAACAAACGCGAATCAGGGCGCAAGCCATGCGAGAAATTCGACATTGATCCAAAGTCGAACTGGGATTGATCATTTACGCTGGAGAACGATTATTTGCGCAATACACACGCATCAATTTCATTTACTCGTTGAGCGCTAAATTTAGAATCGATTTTTCAACCCAGAATTTAAGCATAGTGTTTGTACTTTTTTCAATTTTATGTTGAATTAACAGATTAGCACGTATGATATTACATTCTTTTCTTATATTTTGTTTTTTTCTACTAGTTGTACCTATTTAATTCTTCAAGACTTGAAAAGTGTTCTTTCGTGTTATCTTTGAAAGGTTTGATTCCATTTTTTTCACACTCACATTTATTTTCTCTTATCACAAGTTTCATTTTCAGTGCTCATCCGACGAAGAAGATGGTCATAAAAAGATTAGTCAAAGACGGTCGACTGGAAATGACCACCGGAGGCTGGGTCATGACTGATGAAGCAACTTCTCACATTTACGCTATGCTGGATCAGCTCATTGAAGGTAAGTAGGAAAAAACGTATATTCTAATCGTCGACATTTCGATATACATTAAATTAGAAATCATAAATATTTGTTGTAACGTATTTTCACGTTCAAATTGCTAAATTTATAACAAAGAAAGAAAAAGTAGATCGATATAAAGATAAAACTTAAGGTTTTAATTCACACGAAGTAATGTTAATTTATACATTGAAATTTATTTAATTTATTTTTTGGCGATTTTAAAAGCTCTGATACAACAATTAATTATAATAATTAATAAAGAGAAAATCGATATATAACTTAAAAATCGCGTTAGACAGTGGAAAGTCAAGAACCGCGTTGAGCAAATATGAAATGTCAAATTTTAATATTAATTTCATTTTTCTTAATTATTATGTCGAGCATATTATATAATAGAAAATATCAAATGTATAAATATTAATATTTTAATTTAACGCCAAGATACGAACATAAAATGTAAAAAAAAACCCACTGACTTCCGAACCCACCGAACCACTATAAAAAGAGCTCCATAAAAACGCGAACGGAAACGCGAAGGATCCAACATGACGAGAAAGGATGTTCTCTTCCTTCCGACGCTATAAAAATCAGCCAGCGTTTTAAAACACTCTATCGACAACCAAAGGGACGTCGGAATTCCGGCGGCCAGTAGATAGCTAGGTAGGATATCCCTGTCGTTTGCTAGCCAAGTGTCGGCCGGCAGGAAGCAATAAGGATCGCCAACGATGCACTGCGCGAAAAGGAGAAGATTCGAGTGGATGGAAAGGATTTCTCCCGTCCTGCCACGCGGCGGCAGGGCTACGAGAAGGTGGAGGAAGAGGAAGAGAGTAATAAGGCGGCGGGTGCAAGCGGATTTCTCAACGGAAAATTGCTCTCCGCTACGTCGTCGTCGTCATCGTCTCCGTCGTCCTCTCGGAGAGCCGTCTGATTACGACCTCCTCCTCCTCCTCCACCACCTCCTCCTACTCCTCCTCCTCCTCCTCCTCTTTCTCGCAATGAAGGGAAAAGGATCCTTCTCGCTCTCGCTCGGTTTAATGTTACCGCGAAAGATTTTACCGCCCTCGTGGAAATTTCAGTCGGAGTTGATTACCTTTCCACAGGGCTCGCTCTCGCGTGGTGCTGTATCGCCGGGATATCACGACGTGGAATGGCCCACTCTCGCTACGTGGGGAAGGGACGGTAATAACTATTATCGTACATATGTCGCATAGCTGCGGCAAGATTATTCCTAATGTTTGCTGGGTATACCACGTGTGCCCGTTCTCCCCGAATGTAGCGCAGTCGGGTCAGGCGTACCGTGACCTGGCGCAACATGGAATACGCGGTGGTAGTCTCGAGCAGTTCAATGTTGAAAACGCGATATAAGAAAAGGCTGTAAAAGAGGCGTCGAAAAGAATAAGCTCGGATAGAATTGCTCTCGCGCGATTATTAAAAAGCAAGTCAAGCGAAAAGGAGACTCGTTAATTTAATTCCGTATCTCTCAATTATAATCAATTGAATTCGACATTGGTGCTAATTAGTTCGTCTGTATTGGTCTGTATGAAGATTATGCAAAAAAAGAACATAAATATAAGTGGCATCTTAAGTCTTTTTAACGTTATTTGTTATAGAAAATCGTTTTCAGAAAAAGAAAAGATAATTTTCTAAAATTATGGTTCTCTAGAAAAGATAGAAAAATCTTAATTATCTTGAATATGTAATCCAGACAATCTAGTCTATATTATCGGAATGTATTTTAATAGTTGAGACGTAAATACGACGAGGGTGAAAATTAGACATCCAATTTTATCAAAGCTCATTTTCGACTTCAATTATCTCTTCGTGCCGAATCTTCATTTCCCGCTATTGAAAAGGAACATTCTCCGTTCGTTATAATTTCGAAATAATTTTATATATACGGTAACAGTGGTAAATATAAATTTACGACAAACGTTGGAACATTTCGTGCAATTTTGTGGAGCGGCGTGGTCCACCTCGGCAACCGCGTTTAATTGTCACTCCCTCAGCATCAAAAGCCCGACGTTTCAGGAAACAAATATTGTCGCCACATATCTCTTGCTTCCGAACGATCCAAATTCGCCGCGCCACGCGCGCATATGTACCTATATACGTAATAACGCCGACGTAGGACACGGCTCACACGGCGTGCGGCGCGAAATTTCCGCGAGCCACGTATGTACGATCATTAATAGCGGATGAAGGGGGTGTAACAACAAAACGTACAGCATGTTATGACCTGTCGCGTCGCGCGGTTTCCACGCGGGCGAAACGCGTGCACAAGTGAGGGAGGACAGACGAGACTGACGAGAGTCCTCGAGCCGCGCGGCAGCGCGCCCGGCCGACCGCGCTCGCCCGAATAATACATTCGCTCGCTCTTGTGTTCGCGCGTCCGCGCGAAATAATTGTCGTCGTGCGGATGGTGCGGATCTAACAGCTTGTTTTTGCACAGCCCCGGTGTATTCATCGCCGTCGCGGCGCAAAAACCGAATCTCCATTGTGTGCGCGTGTGCGCACGCAACGCACGACGGCGGTGCCTCTTTTCCGCTAATATATCCGGGCTTTGTGCGGTCCGCTGTTAATAGCGCCTCCTCCTCGCGTAACGAGAAACGCGAACATTTCCTTTTATCTCCATATTAAACTCGTAGAGTTTCGCCAACGCGAAATTTTTCGGTAACGAATACGCGTGCTTTTTGTTGCTCCAGCCTTTGAAGAATTCGGACGCGTTATATCTTTGAGATATTGCCCTCCCATTTATTCGTTCGTATTCGCAAAATATGTATCCCGCCAATATTGCAGCAGAATAAAACAAATATAATATAACAAAAGAGAGGTTCGAGATTATCAAAATCAAAGATTACTAAAATGTTCATTTTGAAATGTTGATCATGTATGTATGTACATATATGTATTCCTCCTATTTTGGTTTTATTGCATACCAGTTATTTCGTGTTTCGAGATCTCAGATTTATAACCCATGATCAAATATTTGGCAAACCGCATCGATTGCCCGAAGATTCTTTATCGTAGTAGCGTTTATAAACGGAATTAAGACCAAAGCACGAATTATGTAACATCCAATGTCGCGATGCGGGGGAATGCGCGTCGGTCGCACAATGGTGATTTCGCGGGCGCGCGCGGACATTTGCGATTTTGCCGTGGCGCCGGCATTAAATTGAAATAATGCCGCTCAGGTATATTAACTCCTAATTATCGGGCCACTGAATATGTATGGCGCGACGCGCGTTCGCGCCTAGAACGTTAAATCGCCCAAGTTCGGCGCGGCCACCGTTAACGACTGTCGCACTAAACTGCCGGTGCGTTGGACTCGATATTATCGTACACGCGTGTATTTTCGGAGGGACGCATTACACCGACGAACAGTCGCATCGACGCAAACATTCGGCGCCGATATTCGCGATTACGTAGACGGCGCGGCATCCCCCGTCCCGCTGTAAACACGAAAGTCCGGCGCGCTATCGTCAATTTGCCGCGAGTGTGCATAAACCGCGCATAAATCGCCATGCATTAATCGACGAAAATGCAAACAACGTCCGTGCGCGCGATTACGATTAATGTATTAACATAACTGTAGTTTGTAAATCACGGATCAATAGTCGCGCCAGCACTTTTTTGAACTTGAAAGATTGTTCGATGACATGTAACGTCATTTTTAGATATCTTTATCTTATTTCAATATTACGATTGCAAGCTTCGTAGACTTTTGATCTCATCGGAAATCTTTTCCGGATATTGAAGAAATTAATAGATAATTTATCTGATGTACAAACGTGTAAAACAACATCGAATGTGCTTTAGAAAAAAAATTTGGTTTAAAATATAAAATATTCTTTGAAAAACCAGGAATTAAAATTTTATATAACTAGAAGTAGGTAATATTTTTACGTGCATGGTATTTACAAAATATTTATTTGTTATACATCAAAATATATATAATGCATAATACAATATTTCTTATAAAATTATATGTACATTATACAAGACTGTAGTTACCATCCTTGAGATAGCCTTTGTACAATTATAGGTACAATTATAAATTATTATATTATTATAATTATAAATATATTAATATTAATATTTTATATTTATTTTTTAATTATTTGTATTATAAAATAATATAAATAATTATATAAAAGGCTGTACATGTTCATCGATGAGATTCTCAAGTATCCAAATTAATTGTTTCATTTCATGAAGCAACATCCTTGAACGTTCGGTTGTCGCTTGGGCCGGTGTCACATTAAATCCCATTTCTCGCCTTCTTCTGGTCTAGAAAATTAATCTCTGGCTCTCTGCGCGAGCAGGCATTCAGGCGATATGCTTCGAAGAGACAGCCTACCATCTTATACCGGGGCTCCCGTTTCCTCGCTCGAGTTTCACGGCGCGCGAACAAAGGAACGATCTTTTAATAAACGACGACCGAGTATAATCCTGCGAGCGGCGATAACATCGAAGCGGAACGAAGCCCTGGCCGGTCGTCTCTTTAGACTGTGCACGGCTCTCTCGCGCGCCGATCATCGTCGGCGTTCCTCCCGCTTTTAGACAGGCTCCTGGAAGATCCCGTCGCAAATATCGCGCGGGATAAAAGCGTTTACGGGCTACGTCGTATCCCGAAGGCTTCATATTTCCCCCCGGGCTCGCATTCTGTTTCCGCATTCTGTTTCGCTTCGTGTCCCAGGTATAACGTGTACGTCGGGCATATAGGGTGCCGTAATATAGATCTTAATACGGAGGCACCCCCGAGGAAGTTGTAACGGAAAGAGGTGCCGTCGTCGTCCGACTGAATTCGCCGGTAGTCTTTCCGAATACGATCGTCACCGGCGGCGAATTGATTTTTATCGCCGACGAAACAACCCTCTTCTCGATATAGCGGAGAACATTCGTTTAATGGCCGGGCTTCGTCGTGGACCGCCCATCGGGATCTGCCGCGCATCGATGTTATATTTGCATCGAAATAGTACGCGACAGCACGCGCGATA